CGACTCCAGCACCTTGGCTCAGAGTAGAAAAAAATCTACTACCCTTGTGGAACATTAGTAATTGTTCACTTCTACAACACTACAGCTAATAACAGTGCTGCTTAATGATGGTAATTAGTATTGGTGACCTTCATTTTCACTCAGCTGATAAACTTACTTGGTATGAAGCCTGCGTAGGAAGGTATCAGTCCATCACTGGTGTAAATTCTGTTGTTAGGCCAGTATGTTTGGGGAAATCTCTTGCCAGAGCTGCAAGCTGGGTTTCTGTACATCATCTGGAAAACAATCGAATTAAAAAAACCTACCACCATAGTACAGTTCATTTTCAACCATATTGTTATTACCCAAGTCATGTACTTTGACTCCATATTAAATATTTTAAGCCGATGTACAGCAATTCTCCTTCCAGTTCTGTGTTCTTTTAATTAGCATCTACATTGCATCTTCCCTTTTTTCCACTTTATAAGCTTTTCTCCCAACAGGTGTTGGCAGCAGCTCTCAACAGCGCTGCCTCTGCTAGTGCCTACCCAGGTGCACAGAGCAGTGCCTGGCCTAGGCCTAGTCGCAGGATCTCTACAGTCCGCGCTGCATTCGTCACCCCTGGGCATCATCTGCACGTCCCAAACGCCTTGTGCTCCTACATTTGATACACCGTGAGCCAGCAGTATCTGCTGGAGTTGGATACACGCCTTGTCTGCTCCTGTGCTATGACTCTGCACATCTGTGTTTTGGTTCAACCCACTTAACTGGTTTTGAGGGGTTTTTTTGATGATCAGCTGTTAATGCTCAGGCTGAGAGGAACAAGGAAGGCTTAGGGAGCACTAACTGAAGGGAGAGTGTAAATCTGGCCCTCTGCGGCCAGACCCAGACAAGGGGCTGTGCTGGAGGGTGGATATTGCCGCTCTCTGCAGCCGCAAAACCCCTAAAGGTGTCACTAAAGCTGTGCCACCTCCTCGGTGAAGAAGAGACAGGGTTTACAGAGCTGAGCAAACCACGGGGCCACTGAACCCTTTTGTGACTAGCGCTGGAGTGAGGTGGTGGCCGCCAGGGAGGGAGCCGGTGGGGGCTGCCGGCATCTCACCGGCCTGGAGGTGGGCGGCTGCTCACCGGGCCGTTCCCAGGGTGGGCAGAGCAGCACTGGGTGATGCCTCTGTCCTAGGTTGGATGTTCATGGCGCAGCCCTGTCATGAGGCAGCCAGGCATCCCAAGCTGGGTAAATGTCTCCCTTGCTTACCTTTTCTTTACCTCTTAATAGGCCATACTGTCCCCTTCTACTCTCCGACTTTGTTAGCACATTCTTGAATAGAAAGTTCATCTGTTGTTCACAGCTTTGTTGTTTTAGCAGAGTATTTTTATGATTATACGTATTCATTAGGATGCCAGCAAGGTCTACAAGTCCTAGCATCTCGTTTCATAATGCAGCTAAAACTTGAAAGAGGCTCCTAATAGGTTCTCAAAACCTACCTGGTTTCAAAGTGTTGCCTTGATGTGGGAGTGGACTGAGGCAAAAGCAGCAGGTGACCTCAATTCTTTCTACACAAACAGCACATCAGGCCAGTGCTCTGTCATTCAGGCATTCATATAAGGCAGAGGTACATTATGGCTTGTATATATTTCATGGTCTACGCTTGGTAACAATTATCCAGCTGCTGCTGTGACTGGATCAGGTGAGGAGGTAGTCAGGAGAAGAATAGCAGTGTGAAGACTTTTGCTGGAGATCAAATAGCCTCTAGTAGTTGGCTTAATACAAAGATTATGATGATTGATATTTCTGGCACATAAACAACATATTCCCCCAGAGATGCTGGAAAGAGCCCAGGAGCACTGGGAGCAGCCCCAGAGACACTGGGAGGAGCCCCAGCGCATCAGGAGTGACCTGAGAGGATCCAGATCCAGGAGGTTCAGGAGAAGGTGTTTATCAGCACCAGAGGTGCCCAGACACAACTAGGAAGACACACATACAGCTCATCCTCCACATTTGAAGCCAAAATGCAGGAGGTTTGTGCAGTTTACTTCGAGATAGCTGAGTAATGCAAAGGCAGTAGGGTCCAGATTTATCCCACCTAATTATAGACATTGATTTGAATAGCTAGCTCTGGGCTGTGTTCACACCAGAGTCAGTGGAAAGGCATGGCTCGGCCCACTCCAGCTCTGAATAGCCCTCTGATGACACCTCTCTGTCCTCTGTAAAGGTGTTTGATCCAAAATCTCAGTATAATTTAAATACTCAAGGCAGCCAGGATGAATCTGAATTAGACTTGCTCAAGATTTCACACCAGGCTGTAATAATCAGTAAAGACAGCTTTTCCTCCAGGATGTGATGTATAACATAAAAGATTACTACTGTCTTCTTTCTGGTAAAAAAGGGACAATGTAGAATGTCTTGCCTGTGTTCTGCTGTCTAAGAAAGTACATTCAGCATAAATTCTCATTGAGGCATACGCAGAACAGCATTAGCAAGCTTCTGCGCTCATGAAGCCCTAGAAAACTATCCCTAAAACGGAGCTGCAGGGCTTGTAGGAGGTTTGCTAGTACAAGTGCTGTTGTATTTTTGCAGATACAGGTTGGGTTTTTTTCAGCCAGGGCCAGAAAGTGAAGGACTGCACATCAGTGACGAAGATCTGTTCACTTACTTTGTTAGAAATCATCAGCCTTTGTAGTTGGTGCTTCTCACAGCTTGTGCTTCACCGCACTGCCTTTAATGATTGGGAAGCTGTTCTGTTATGTTTAGAGGGAGAAATGGTTGCTACCCCCAGTGTTGCCAGTGGCAGCAAAAAAGTAGAAATACTCTGCTCAGTTAAGACTTCAGATGTCTATCTCCAACGTGCTAACAGGATTGCACCCAGCAGAGCAGGGGGTAGTACCCTATGGGGCAGCTAAAACATTGGTCCTGTGAATGAGCTTCCAGAGGTTTCCCTGGGAGATTCAGCCACCTAAAAATTTATGGGTTAGGAGGCATTTCAGATTATTCATGCAACATTTATTTGTGCAACATAATTCTATCCCAGTCAGCTAGTACTTCTGTTCTTAGCTACATGCAGATTCACAGGAAATGACCATTCTATTTTAAATATTTTTGCATTTTTGAAATTAAAGTAAAATGCCAGTACTTTTAAGCTCTCTGTGAGGAGGAACACAGCCAAGCTGCCAGGAATCTCCATGGAGAGGTGCTGGAGCTGCCGACTATCTTAGCTCTGCCACTTCAAATGCTGTGTCAGCCCAGCAACCTCATTAGTGTGTACCAGAAGGTGAGCTGGCAAGTAAGAAGGCAGGTTTTTCTGCCAGAACCTTGTCTCATGAAGCACTTCTTCAAAGGCAAAATTCTGTTCGAAACACTGACAATTGGGCAAATTCTGTGAGAAAAAAAGTTGCCTGCCTGAGGAAAATGCTTAAGTGCATTTCCAATTGTTGGTTTAGTGGGCAGCCTGCACAGAGATGCTGCTGCAGATGCCAGTGGCAGAGGAGTGGGGGGCAGTTGGCAAGCAAGTGGGATAGCAGAAAAGAACTGCTCGGCCAAGGTGGGGAGGTACGTGGCTCCCACATCATGATTTCATTGAAGACATGGGCTTTATCTGGTATTTGATTTCTTTGAAAGCTCTCTTCAAATCCTGCTGTGACTAGCAAGGAGGTTTCATCTCATTTAGGTGCTTCTGAATTACCCATCTGTAAGTTTGCTGTGTCAATGGCTGGAATTGGGATACTACAAAACATTAGGCGCCACTATTATGAGGTCACATTCCCTGGGTATAATCCAAGGAAACACACGGTAGTGAAATTATAACTAAGTTGGAAATCACATTTCTGTTTTGTTGAACAATATATTACTTAATTTTAACTTTTTATTGTAATTGAGGTGGTTTGGTTTTTGTTGTTTTTGTTGTTTTTTTTTTTTTTAAACTGTACTGCTGTCAGCATGGAAACATTTTAGTGTGAATATAATTGGTTTGAGCAGAGTGGGGAGATACTTTAACCTTTAAGTACTGCATTCCCCTTTTACCAAACCAGTGTTCTTTTTCTGCTATGGGGTATATAGATACAATCCTTTCCCTTGGCAGGCAGGCAGGCAACAGCTATAATTCTTGTCTTGATGCTTAACCAGCAAGATAGCAGTCTGTGTCTCTGAAATAGCATCCTAGTCTAAACTGAACCTAATACCTGGGGCTGGGATGATGTTGGGGCTGACAGGGGCCCAAAGCAGAAATCACAGAACTAATTCTTTTTATATAGATAAAAATCTGAATCCCTGAGCTCAGGAGAGGGACACTGCAGAACAGATGTGGGTGGAACCCTGCCTCCAGAACTGAAAAAGCTTTTGGTGCTGGAGTTGTTCAAGGTTTATGGTAGCACTGAAGTATGGCATGGTTATGTGCAGACCTTTTGTCATTCTAGTCTTTCTGATTGTTATTTCTAAGGATAAGCAAAACTTTGTTTTCTAGACATTGTTGCTCCTGCGAGGTTGAGGTTACTGAAGGTGAGGGGCTTCTTCCAGAGGCTGGCAAGTGAGATGTGCCGTTGTGGGATTCCTGCTTGAGAGAAATAGGAAGAGCTGGGTGGAATCAAGCCACAGGTCCATCCAGGCCAGCATCTTGTTTTTAATGATGAGCAGCAGCTGCCAAAGAAGAACAGGGCAAACATACACGGATGTGGCAGGTGGTTCAGGCAATTCTTTAGCCATTAGCAAGTAAATTTTTGTTTAATAGCCCCAATGGATTATTATGAATTTATCTAATCACCTTTTGCAGCCTTGTAAACTTTGGCATAAACAGCCTCCTGTCGTGATGAGTCCCACAGTTTAAGCACAAGCTGTGTGGAAGAAGAGCTCCTTCCATTTGGTTTGATGATTTCCACTGAGCTCCCCAGTTCAGAGGGCGGCTGTGAGCCCATCACTTCAGAGCTTGCACTCAAGAGAGTCTTAAACATTGACAGTGATTACCATGAAACAGAAGGTAATGCTAAACCAGCTTTTACTTCACGAAAGGTTCAGCATTAATTGGCAGTTTACATCTCCTTCATGTTTAGAACCAGTGAACTTTGAATGCTGCTCCTGTAAAGTTTCCTTCATTCGGTTCCACAGCCTCACTGCTGTACGTTGTCCCGTGACAAGCCCAATAGGTATCGCCACCTTTCATCTGGGAGATCTGTGTCTCTGGAGAATTTCCATCAAGAAGTGGTGACTAATTCGATCATGAGTTGCACATATGGTGAACACCCCCTGCTGTGAACAAAAATAAGCTTTCCTTCACACAAAAGTTGATTTTATAATTTCTCTGTCTCTCTCAAACCTCTTCTTCATTCCCAGTGCAGTTCTTTTCCTGTTCTTTCTCCCTCTTGTTTCCAAAAAAACCTTTATCCGTACGGCATGCTAGGGCCTATTTCTCAGCATACAGGCCTTCTTCCATTGGTGACACGGCTTTTTAAATCACTGATTAGAGCTGCTTTTGCATCCCACACATAGAGAGCTTCCATACTGCAGTCTGTCTTTCATCTGTGTCCACATCAGGAGTCTCCTTGACAAGTTTCCAGACAAGTCTGCTTGCTAATTTATTTGATTTGTGGTGGGACCAGTTACTGTGTTGTAGATTTCCCCAGGCTTAAGGCGCTGCTCTGCCAGCCTCCCTCTTGTGACTAATCACTGTCATTGCACACTCAGGGGAGCGACAGTTTACATTCTATGTTTGATTTGAACAGGGGATCTAAAAGCATCCTACTGCAAGAAGGCTCTGAGTATTCTCATATCAAGGCCATGGTGGAAACCAGGTCAAAGACATCTCTTCTGACTGCTCTCCACTGTGTTTGCAAAACATCAAAACACTTTGACTTGCCTGCATTTGATGGCCTTATGAAAGGACTTTTATATTAAGAGACCTGTTCATTCGGGCTTGTTCTTCTGATATCATTTCCATCTATTTCAGTGTGTTCTGAATTAGCCCTTAAAGTAGGAGTGATACTCCATGAGGTAGGATATAAACATCATACGGCTTCCTGCTTCTCTGGAAGATATTCAGATACGTGATCACAGGCATGGTATAAGAACAAAATAAAAGTGTACTGATCAGTCTCTAAATCCAGCCATCCTAAAAGGCATTCCTCTCTTGTTCTGCTGGTTTTGCTCCACCGGTGGCTGTGGATTTCAAGTTATTTCATTACTGTTTATAATAGCAGCCCCAAACAACTTAAATGAGTGCAAGTGCTGCAGTGCCTGGTGCTGGACATTGTTTCTACCTTTGCTATGTCAGAGGCCTTCCCTTAACCACTGAACTGGGTGTCTCCACAGGCAGGACAGTATCTCAAGGAGAGGAGGAGTTACACTCACTGCATTACTCATGGGAAGCTGGAGTTCAGCCGTATGACCAGTTTTGTAAAGTCCTTGAAGCATGCATGACCTTCTCATGACTTGCCAAGATAAGCTCGGAAGTCTATGACAGCACCTGCTAGAGAGTCCAGCTCTGGAACTAATTCATCTATAAGCATCCTGTGAAATACCTGTATCTCAAAAAGCAGCACTTATCCACAGCCCTGTGTCAGGTACAGCCAGGTACTGGGAGTGAGTTTAGGACTCAGCTTAGGTCTCTCTTCTACAATCACAGGGAGCCTCGGTGCATCAGAACAGGAGGAAAGAAACAACTCTGATCCTGTGGTGGTGAACTTCCTACTGCAGAGTGGGACTGCGGGCAATAACCATCATTTCTCTCAGTTTTCAGGGGTATTCACTGGAACGGCCCAGAGGGGGTGTACTGTTTGGGAATCCATGATACTTTGGAAATGGTATAAACTGGGAGAAAGACAGGAGCTAATATAGTCCTACAAACATGATGTAATGAAATTTAGGGGACTCCAGCCATCAGCAGGTCAGCTAACCTAATGGGTTTCTGGAGCTAAAATGAAGTGCTTTCTGGTGTCAATTTTTATATCTAATACTTTTGATTTCCTTCTTACTGGTACTTGCTGACATCATCAGAACTGAAATTACATGTGAGCAGACATTGTCTGCCAGAAGAGCATTCTCATGGTTCAGCCTGAGTGAGAAGTGAGGGAGATATGTATAAAATGAAGAATTTATGGACAGTTAGAAAATCCTAATTATTAATAATTTCCACAATTACATTGTAACTAAAGGGCTGCAAGCATCTTCGTTTCAAAGTGAGTGAGTTAATCTAGAATCTCCTTTTAAGCAGATTTCTGATGTCCAGGTAATCTGGGGATTAATTCTGCAAATTTATGTGGTGCTGACATGAAGGAGCTGCTTCTGTAGAGAGCTGGGAGAAAGGAGTATGTTACCTTTATTAGTTTCTACTCATGGATTCCCAATTTTGTTATTTGCTGTCTTTTTTTATGACTAAAAACACACTTCAGGGCTTTTAAAATACCAGAGGTGTATCTTACCGTCTAGTAAATACATCTATAAGTGTGTTTTTTTTCTGCCAGATAGAAAGAGAATGATACACATTGTCAATACTGCCTGTTCCAAGCCCAGATCACCTGGTGACCTAAGCTTCTGGGAGTTGCAGCTTGGGATGGGCAGCACACTCATCATGTGAGACGAAATATGCCTGTCCCTGCCTGCCCCCATGACCTGCCTGCAGGAGAAGACAGCAGTGGCAGCATTTGGAAGGAGTGATGGGAAAGGAGGGAGCGGAGCTGCTGCCTGCAGTGTGTGGATCACCGGGGGAAGAACTTCAGCCATTGAAATGTCTCGCTCATGCCTTTGATGAGAACAGCAGCTTTTGGCTCAAGAGTTTAGAATCTGCTCTAAATCAAGTGGTTGTGGGTTGTCTCCACATCGCAGAGTGGTGGCTCAATGTCAAGTGGTGGCTCAAGTGTCCTGGATTTAAGGGGGCAAGATAGGCCATCTGTCCGTGCCACCACTCATACAGCTCAGGGTCATGTGTGAGGCAAAAGTAAAGTGTCACGAGGACATGCTGAGCTTCCTGTGTAATTCCTCACTTATTATCTGCATGGAAGTCCCAAAGCTTCTAAACAAACTTGAGGAAGTTCCAACCAATGTACTTTTTTCTTGGGCCCTGTGATCTCGTATTCAAAATCAAGAAGGTGTAATGACTGAGCAGGCCAGAACACCTGGAGTCCTGGGGTTTTGGGCATCTCTCTGGCTTATTTCCATTTCTGACAGTGGCAGTATTTTTCTTGGGCAGGTTGCAAATCTCAGCCAGGAATCCCACAGTTCTCTTCTGTGCTGACAGGTTGCAGAGCCACAACTCTGTTTAATGATTGCATTTCCAGAGTGGGAGGAATGACGTCTCAGGAATTTCCCTGATATCACTGACTCCCTGGCAACCTCTTTTTTTTTTTTTTTTTTTTTTTTTTTTTTTTTCCTGAATCCCTCCTACCTTCTTCAGGTGGTTTGAGCAAAGAACACATCAAAGACGTAGACACATCTCTCATCAACTAAATACCAGCAGCCAGGTTATCTGAAGACATTTTGTGCCTGCCTGCCACTGGGAAGAAAGTGCCTTCAGGGGTTCTCATTGTGTACCCCGAAAGTACACAGCATAACAGCTCTTGAGTAAACAGGCAAAATCAGCATCCCCCATCCTCCTCAATGAAACACTCTATATTCACAATAAAGCCCCCGCTTTGATCTCCTGCCAAGAATAACACAGACAGTCTATTAAAACATCTTTAATAACATGATATAATTAAAATATCTAATGTGCAACTCAAAGAAATGAATATGAAGCTTGTTTAAATCTGTTTCCACACCCCTCCAAACTTGACTGACAGGTTCCAAACCTTCATTAACTGGCCTGAAAATTTATGAATACCCCAATATTATGGGGGAGGGGGTGTGTCCTATATATGAGTTGGGAGAACAAGGGATTAATAATGAGATTTGAAAGGATTTGTGTGCCGTGGTAGCTTTAAAAACCCTGCAAGGCACATCAGTGCCTCTGTGAGCATTTACATTTCTGTTTAAAGTGGTCTGAAATGAGTTGGAGACACTCGTCCCTTAGGCTTTTAACAGCCTGTGTGTTTAAGTGTCTGGAGCAATCCGAGAAGTGAACTCAAATGCTTTAATCAAAGGACAGTGTTTGAATCAATCCCTTTTCTTCACAATAATACAGAGAATTTGTAGAGAACCTCATCTTTTAGACAAGCAGAGCAGAGCAGACCAGAGGAGCAGGAACGACTTCCAGAGGAATTATTCCCAGAGGAATCCTAAGTATTGGATTATAAAGTAACTCTGGTCACAGTCTAATATGAAAGTCATTGGACTGACAATTGGTGAAACTTCTGTTCCCGGGTCTGCTTTTGTGTAAATGACAATATTAGATGAGATAACTTCACTTTTAGAGTTGGCGAGACAAGCAGTTTAGTGCAAATAAACAAACTGGTGAAACTCAGCCCATCATGCACCTTTAGTTGATGTGACATTAAATGTGCTAATTTAAATCCTGGTTAAAGAGTATAAATTGACAATTTTAACCCTGAGTTGCCACAACTGAGCTGAGAGACAGGAACTCAGCTGTATGTCTGTGCTCTTTGTTTCTCCTTTGATGCCCTGCAGATTTTGTAGAGACCAAGACTAAAAACCATTGCTTTTGAAGGATTCTTGGTCAGCAGGAGCATTCGCTGGAAGGGACACATGGAAACCATCACTGAGGTGGAAGAACAGACAGCTCAGTTGTTATAGGCAGAAAATACCTGCTTTTACCCTAGAACACAGAAGTGAGTTGGCTGTTAACATTCTGACTATATTTTGATGCTGTTCCAGTCCTCAGTAGTGGCAGTACTGCAGGTACTGTCTCTCTTGTGGGCACAGAAGAGAACAGAGCACTTTTTCAGTCACCACCTCTCCTGATTAGACAGGATTATTCAATATTAACTGTACAATAGCTCAGAGGCATTGTTTCATTAGGTTGATGTGAGTAATCTCAGCTGCAGCCCAAGCAAATGTGTGCAGGCTGCTCTCATTTGGAGAATGAGTAGCTTGCCATCCACCAGGAATCCCAGGTTTCCTGTGGAGCAGGATCCGTTGTCTCAAAGTACAGTAGTGTAAGTGCTAGCAGGTTGAAATAAGGCGCTGAGGCTCTGGGAGTACTGCAGGAAAATCACTTGCATCCTCTAGTGACTTACACCTGTGTGATTTCTGTGTATACCCTGTATACCTCTGGCAAGAGCATCGGGCCCCAGAATGTCAGTTGTCATCAAAAACACTGCTGTTCCTGTTACTGAAGCTGTTTTCCTTGACCATCACTCGGTATGAGATGCGCATGAAAGAGCCAGTGAGCAGCACAACAAAAAGGATAAGGAGCAAAGACCAGACCCCTGGTTCAATCCCTTTGAGGAAGCTTGGGCTGTCCTGTGGGATGGTGTTGGTCAGACTCAGCAGGTACCCAAGAGTCCAACCAGATGATGTATCACCCATCTATTGAAATAAAAAGAAGAGGTCAGAAGAGAAGGAGATAGTCTGCACCCCAAATGTGTTTCTGTGCACAGACCCAAGGCCTCGTATACTTAATATTTGAGACTGATCCAAGGATTAGGCTTGAAATGAGGAACTCTCCCACTCCCAGTGCCCTGGCTGCGTTAATAGGCCTTAATTGCTCTGCCCAGCCTCACCCGGCATTTGTACCCACCCCCTCTGCCCATGGGCCTGGGAGCTGCCTCTTTCCTGAGCTGTGCTGCATGTGTGTGCTGTTCCTTCTCCTTACTGCTTACTGGCTTTCCCAGGTGGATCTCGGGTCTACACTGTGGGTAGTTCTGTCTCTGGTCCTGTTGCCTGGTTGAACCCCAGACCTATGTTGTAGGTGGCTTGTCTCTGGCTTTCCCTGGGGGTCCCTGGATGGACCCTGGACCCTGGACCTGATCACCACAGGGCTGACTGACCCACTGCCCCTCCTGCAGCCCTGCTCAGTGGGACCATGCCTTTGCTGTGAGTTGTGAAGAGGTCTGCAAATAAATAGGCTTGCTTTTGTGAGGGGGAGGACCTGAATCAAATCCTCCTCTCCTTAGGGGCTCCAGATCCTGAAGCAGTTTCAGACCTTATAAGCCAGTTGTAAACCCTCACTAGTATAAAGGTGATTGCAGAGAGGTGAGGCAGCACCTTTTAGCTCAGGAAATATTATCAGCAGTCTGTCCTTAGCATTAAGTGGTGATGAATCCATGCTTCCTTCGCCGTTGGGCATAGACCCATAAACATGGTGTTGCTCCAGGTAAGGTTTTTGACCCGTCTATTTTTCAGTGGGGACAAGTGTAATCTCTAGATCTCTGACACTGGCTTTCTTGCTTTATCACGACTGTGAATTTATTTTGCAAAAAACATCTTGCTGGAGAAACCTAGCTGGTTAGGGCTTGTAGGAGTGGGGACAAGCTGGCTTTACTGAAACCAACCCTCCCTCCTAATTGGAAATACCACACTGTAGGTAACTGACCTTCTGGAATGCAGTCCGAACAGACCTGTCAAAGTCAAACATGTATCCCTCTGTACTGAGATGAAAGATGAAGGCAGACACAACACAGTAATCAGCAAGTGTATCCAGGCTTGTTTGGGATTCCTTAACCAGCTGGTGTAGTTTCCAAAAGAAGATGGGGAAAAAATAAAAGTAAATATTCAGTAGCTATATTTCAGGCCTGCTATAACTTCTCCTTTCCTGCTCTGGGGCTGACTGTGGGACTGGAGGAAGGGTTTGTGTCCTGTGCAGACTGACACTATGTTTCCTGTACCCACTGGGCTGTGATCTGGGGACCAGGGTCATCTCTTTGTGCCTTTGTTCCCACCTTATTGTAAACTAAATAAAACCGTGTGTTTGGGTTAAAGCCTAAGCTATAGCGATACTTTCATTTAGGCCGAATGTACTGCACTGATCTGAGGAGGACCACTCATCACTGGCTCTGTCTGTAAGCCTGATGCTTCGTATCAACACTGCAGGCCTTGCTAAGGACGGTACCCTTGAAGAGGAGCTAAAAGATTGATAAGAGGGGAACATCCCTGAGCCAGAAGGAGCCAGAGGCTGGATAATCATGCCTGAGAAGCATGAAGTCAGAAGTAATCAGCAGTAACTGGGGGAAAAGTAAAGGCAGTGGGGAGAGGCCACGACCACTGACTCAATTTAAGACCAAGAAGACGTGCTCCCCCCTCACCCTTTGAGTTTGCACAGAATAATTCAAAGACATGGTAACTTTAAATTGAGATGATGCACATTGTTAATCAGTGAGGGACAAAGTGATAAGAAGCTGCCCAATGGTCATTACAGTAAACATGTATTCATGTGGTTTCAAGTATATAAATACACTGAAGTTCTTTTGGGTGCTGTGCTAGCTTTGTGGAAATATCACCTACCATCTCACTCTGTGCAGACATGGAATAAAAGAAATACCTCTTATTAAAGACCAGGCAATTCCAAAAGCAGCAGGACTGGCAGCCAGGTCTCCTACAGTTGCTTTGCAGGTGAACTACTTGTTATGATTCTCTGCTCTCTAATTAGATTGAGTTAATGCTTCAGCCTTTTTCTCAATAGGAGCATTAACAAGATCTTTCTCTTCAGAAGGTTTTAGGGAAGTGCTTATGGGCTTTGCTACCCCCTTAGCAAACCCTGTAGGAATTGTCCAACTTGAATGTTACTGTGGATGCTTGGTCAGTGTAGGTGCGAATGAGGGTGACACCATAAGCCACCAACTGAGGGAAAGAATATACAAATTCCCACTGACTTGGTCTCCATGGACCCAGGTGAAATGGGAAAGCCCCTGGAGTCTGAGCAGATGTGTTCCTTGCACTTAAGGAGAGGATGGTAACAGGAAGACCAAGGTGATCTACAGAAGTGAGTAGACAGCCTTCCTATTTACTCCTTAATATGTAGTAAAAGGTACCTGTGGCTTTTCATTTAGTTAAGTCCAGCTGGGAGTTGAGAGGAATGAAAATAAGTGGAGCCTGTTTCCTGAAAGTAAAAAAACCCCAACACCAAACCAAAACCCAAATCCAGGCAAATCTAAGCTTTTCCCTGAGGGAGCCAGTTAGTTATGGCTGTCAGTCTGAGCCCCATGGGCTTTTACAACAGACTGTTTCTTGCTTCCCACTCTCCCTTCACCCTAAGTTATTCCACCGTTACCTCTTTAACGGACATCTGACAAAGCCTGTCGACACCCTGACCCAAGTCAGGAGAGGGCACAGTTTCTCTCATGAAGTCCATGGCCTCGGAAATCACCTACAACAGCAGCAAAAATAATGATCAGGTTGGACTGTGCTCTGCACCCTTGCACTGCAAACAGTGCCTATAGGAAGTAAGTGGCAGTGGCTGGGGGGCATTGCCAGGGTGCCCGTTCGGTGTGGGTGGTTACGGTGCTTCTGATGGGTGTGGGGAGGACAAGCAGATCTGTTACTGCCTGGAGATGGAAACTGGACTGTTTCTAGCTTGTGTGCAGTGGCCTTACCGGCCCTGCCTGGGTAAGTAAACTAGTCCTTATGCTCCTTTGCGTGCTGTCTATGGGAGGCTCTCAGGAGCAGGGAGCTGGGGAGATTTCTGTAATTCCTCCCTCTGAAATGCACTCGGTTTCACAGAATCACAGAATCACAGAATCATTCAGGTTGGAAAAGACCCTTGGGGTCATCGAGTCCAACCATCAGCCTGACTTTACAAAGTTCTCCCCTACAGCACATCCCCCAACAGCTCATCTAAACGATCCTTAAACACATTGTTTAAGGGTTTAAGGTTTGTCCTAGCATCTTGATCTGGTCCTAGCTTAACAACCCAACAGCTTTGAACACTGGATCCATGCTTGTGGTGGAGCGTGCCCAGATGTTTGCTAGGGGAGTGGCAGAGGATCTTTGGCCTTCATGTGGGAAGACCTGCTCAACATGCAACTCCTGGCTGTCCTATCACTCCTGTCTCTGTGAAGCCCCTAAATTTGTCTCACAAGCAGGCGTTGCTGAGACATGGGTGAAGAAAGCCCTACCACAGCTGTTGGTGGGAAGCCTGTGGTTCATATTCAAACAGCTGGTGCCAATGAGGGGGAGAGAGCAGGAGTGTACATGTGCAGCATTAGCCAGAGTGCTGGCTCTCTTGGCTAGCAGAGGGCACAGCTTGGCTGTTCCCACTGTATTCACTAATAATCAAACTGGTCCCATTTCATGGGTTCTCCATACCAGTTGCCTACCCCAGTGTAAATGAGAACCCACCAGAAACCTGGTCTGGAGGGGCTTGAAAACACTGCTGAAGGAATGCTTGAAGAAGCTGCAGGAAGAGGAAGAGTTGAGTAGGCTTTGCACAAGTCTCTTGCAGGAGGTGGGATTGCTGGAGCCGGTGATGTTGAAGAACTCCTCGGGGCCAGGGATGTTGGATGTGTCATCGCTGACAGCACAAGGCCCAGCATGCACTGATTTCCATTGCACTTCCCGGAAATAGGTGAGGGGCCAGCAGGGATTAGACACAGTTTTAGCACTTCTCTGATCCTAGAGGCAGAACAAAAGAAGGACAGAGGCAGCAAGAGAGGAGGTTGGCATCCCAAGGCTTCACAAAGGAAGACAAAATGTAACAGTGAAGAACAGTTTTTCTCTGGCACCTCAATGTTGTAATTGGGCAGGAGGGCTGCAAAAGGTTTGCCAAACCTTATCTCAGCTCGTTAACTTCAAGGCCCAGACTGATGCAGCAGGGTCCCAGCTCCTGCAAAGTTCAGGGCAAGCTGCAATGACAGGACCTGCAGTGGGAGGCTGAGGAGTCCCAGCCCTACCTGCTCCCTTAGACCAGAAATACAATTTCAATGAATCCTGTACTCTTCATTGTTGGAGGAAAGAGGCTCTTCTGGTCTACCTCCCAAATGGCTCAACCCATCAAGAATCGATGTTTCTTATTTCTAAGAATCCCCCAATATAACTGTGATGAAGTGGGTCTCCATGTGGGACACTCAGGTCTCAATTAAGGGGAGGTGTGGTTTATAGGGAGGCAAGTGGATCGGCAGTGAGTAGTTTATTTCTCATAAATTCAGTTTTGGTGGAGACTAAAATGATTCCTCAGTTTGCATCAGATCCTTTGGAAGAACCAAAACACCTGCTTTTTCTCAAAATGAAATATTGCTCTTCTAAAGATGCTTCGGGGTTAAAGTCAGCAAAGAAAATACTCCCAATGGAAGGTCCCAGTTTGTTCCTGGCTCCCCTTCTGAGGTGGAGGAGGAGTTCAGAGGAGCCAAGGGAAGTCTTTGCCTTTCTTCAGCACCTCTGGAGAGCAATTTTGTGTTCATGTGTATTAAGTAAGGAGCCAAGTAGTGTCTTCAATTAGGAAACTCTTAAATGTGTGCCTCTGCATCTGCTTGGAGGACATGGATTTGGGCATAGAGAGTACGTTTTACAAATGCACCGGGCTTTTTTAGATATATGCAAATGTCCTCTACTAAAGACATTTTGCCCATTAGAAGCTACACCTTGTGCAACTGTCATTTATTGATATTGTACCCAGGAACCTTGCAATTGCCCTTCTAGCAGATACTCACTTGAATGAGCATAGAGAGCAGCCTGCTGCGGAGCTGGTCCATGCCATGGCAGGGGCAGTGATGAGTGTACACGCTGTGCATCTGCCCGTACAGCTGCAGCCTCACTCCCTCTTTTGATGCCTGGTTCTCTTCTTCCACCTTGTAGGTGAGCTGTGTTGAGGTCCCTCCCACGGAGAGGACTCCTGCCATCCCCTTTCCAGAGGGGACCAACTGTCCTCGCCAGTCGTACTGACCCAAAAAGAGCCAGAGAGATCAGTTCTTAAGACTTCTACATCAGGGTTGCAGTCAGATGCATTAGTGCACAGAGGGAGAAAGCAGCTTTCTCGTTAGTACAGCCCAACTATTTTAATTTTTTTTTTTCCCACAGGACATGAGGATGCTGAACTGGTGCCTTTGGAGGGAACAGAGGAGCCATTGTACAAGCACTGCCATCTGCACAGAGAGCTCTGCACAGCCAGTGATTGCAAACAGGGCTTGCCATCCTGGATGGCTGTTCAAGGCAGTGGTCTCAGCAGGTAGGAGCAGGGGAGAGAGGAGGGGGTGTGGTGGTAGGGAATGGGAGGGAGGTTTCCAGGTGCGAAGATATGGGCTTCAAGTGCTGCCTTGTTCCTAAAGGGATTGTCCTGTCAGAAAAACCCCGTGTTTCATCTTCTGCAGTCTTGCAGAACTGATTTTGGCAATGATGAAGTTAGCTGAAGTACAGGCAGGAAAGTTTACATGGGTGTAAGCACTCTGTCCCTGGCTGGGGGAGGCTGTGTTGCTGCCAGTAGGGCTAGCAACTCCCTAACCAGTGCATGCTTGTTATCAGAACTGCCTTTCACTTCCCTGATGTGGAACAACTCAGTCTAACCCACCTTTCTCTTGCCCTTTGAATTCTTTTTGAGACCCTTTGGCTGGAGAAGCCATGGGTAGAGCAAGGAAACTTAAAATGTATTCTTTTTTATTTAATGAGTGCCTTCTGAACACAGACCAGGCCCCTATGCTGGGGACAGCCAGCTGCACTCTCAGTAGTCTCAATGAGAGGAAATTTGATGGGCTTTTGCAGCAAAAGACTCTGCTTCTGTGTCCACCATCCACAGGATGTCCTGTGGGACAGCTGGACTCCAGCAGCAATCCCACAGCACCCCACAGACCGCAGCAACGCCTGTTTGACCATCAGAGTTCTTGCTGACACCTCAGGGCCAGACTACATCAGGTCATCTATGTGAGCATGCTGGATGTGCTGTCCAGACAGCCTCACCTCTGTTAGGGAAACTGCATGAATGTGTCCATGAAAGGCTTTATTAGAATTTTGGTCCTTCAACCTAGTTATGGCTGTCTCACATCTTGTCTCCCAACCAGCTGGTGTAGGATATAACCTGCCTCCTCTAAAAGGCAGTGGAAGTTGTGCTTAAGCACTATTTATACAGGGTTTTAATGATCCCTCCACATGTCTCTGTAGCTGTTGGTTAATGCTCAGTTCAGTTCTGTGCTCCCTGGGCAAGATCATCCTTTACCTTGAAGAAGTTCTCCAGGACATAGTTGACAGCAACCCAGCTGAATGCTTCCTTGTCTGGACTGGACAGTATTTGTGCCCCCTGAAAGTTGAAAGGGGATGACTTCAGGGCCAGAGTCAGGGCTGCAAGGAGACTGTCAGAGAGTATGTGATCGGTGAGGCTAAAGAGAAAAGAAAAAGAAGGCACATTTGTTGTTACAGGACCCTACCAGGAGCAGCCTGCAGTGGGGCCACAGCTGCAGGGCTTCTGCTCTGCTCCCCACTTTGGGTAGTAACACAGAGACACAGTGACAATCCCACTTCTGTTACTTCCCTCGCATGGCACTGGGGGCAAGAACAGCAGAGGGATGATTTGAGCAGTTGTGCCACCATTCAAGAATATGGGAGTTTAGTACCCTCTGTCACTGAGTGAATCCTGTGGCCTTGTCCCACTGACCTGGTCCCCTCTAGACCTTACTTTTCCCCAGTATCTAAAAGGAGATAAAGGTCCCAGGAATTAGGTGTCTGAGAACAGGGTCCACAAAAGTGTGTATAAGGTGGATCTTCACCACCATTCCCAACCTGCTGACAAGAAACATCCCTGCAAGCCCATGTGGGCTGTCACATAAACTGAAAATGCTTCCACTTCCAGTCTGACAGGTATTTTCCCAAGCACTAATTGAGAAGCTCTAATTGTGAAGGGGACTTTACAAAGACTGGTAGCAATAGCAAGACTGTCATCCTCATGGATGCTTGGGGGGTCAGTGTGGAGACACAGCCATACTGTACTCCTCTTGAGTACATCAGGACCTGAAGAAGGTTTACCTGACTAGCAGATTAGGGATGAAACACTGCAGAGCAGACAGGGTGAGATGCATTTACGGAATGATCTGCATGACGTGTGCTGATCTCTGGGTGTGGGTTTGCAACATTCACTCACTTCAGCTGCCTCATGCTGGCGGTTGCTCCCAAGTAGAGGGGGGTTTGGCTGTGCTGCTCTGCTGGGATCTCTTTCTGGGCCCAGTTCAAACATGGCTCCAAGCTCTTCACTACTTTCTGAGGAGAATCTGAGTAGTTGGAGACTCCTGGACCTGAGGACCAGGGGAAAGAATGAAATTTTCTAAGGAAAAGTATGAGAGAAGTGTGAGAGCTGTTACCCAAGAGGTTGCTGTCCTAGGTCATGGATAAAAACAGGACCTGTCATAGGCAGAATTAAGGAGTTCCTCCAGGTAACTGTCCTGCTGAAGTATGGTACTGGGAGCAAAACACATGTGCATGTAAATCCCAAATCTCACTAAGAAAGCCCTAGTTCTGCTGCTGAGACATCCCATAAATGACCACATATCAGCCACGTGACTGCTGCAACAGCTGAGGCTGCTTCAGCCCACAGAAGACAACATGTGTCTTTAGCTGCTATAAAAGATAAGCAAAAAGACACACTGTCATGCAGACAAATCTAAGGCTGATGTGTCACCTCTCCTCCAGCCACTTCCTCTTGTGTTGGCGGAGGTGGCTTCTGAGCCCTGTGCCTGCAAGCAAGACACCCCTGCTCTAGAGGAAGCTGGTGCTGTGCAGAGAGAAGCTGTGTGCAAGCCTTGACTCATCTTTCCAGCAAGATCCAATGGAGTCTTAAATGGTAATTTTTAACTACTACCCAGAAAGAGCCTCACTTCCCCATCCTCTGGCCCACTTGTCTTCCCAGCTGCATGACTCCCTCACCATGTGCTTGGCTCTCCTGGGCCCTGTATAGGGCTGAGCTGCAGCTTGCCTATGGCTACTGAAAGGCTGTGACTGCACTGCCACGCACAGAGGACTACTCACATCTGAGCGAGAGACCTGCCTGGCCTCTTGTTGCTGACAAACTGCTGTACCATGCTACGGTTGCTGGTTTTAACCCAACAGGTGAATGTGGCAGCAGTCAAGGGACACCTACAAAGTTTCACAGAGCCCATATTGCATCTTCTTCTCTGTGTGGTCTGTATTGCTTACAGTCTGAAAGGGCACAAATCCTCTGCCCTGCTTGTTGTGCAGCTGCCTTTCCGCAGCACACTGGTACTGAGAGTTCAGGGTTTCCCAGCATCCTGCTATAATCAGGCTTCAACATCAAAGCAAGATTGAGAGATAGGGAAGAAAACCCGCAAGCGTTAATGCATGAAGCCCTTTCAGCTGGTTTTGGCAGGGCCAAACTCATTCAAACTAGTGAGGGAGACTCCAATATTCTCCAAAATATGACACCTAAAACCAAACTGAACTCATGCTTGTGCTGTCAAACCGCACATAGGGGGTTGGAGTCTTTGCACCTCTGTTGTCCTGGAGCTACACCACTTACTGCCCAGTCAAGAGGAGGCAGAAGATACCAGGAGTCACCCTGCAGCCAGATTTGTCTCCGTTGCTGTTCACTGTCTTGCCTGGTTGAGAAGCTCAGCAACTTGGCTCTGCTACTGATCCACGTGGACATCAGGATGAGTCCCATCCTCTCTGTGTGCTTCCCTGCCTGCAGCAGGCCAAAAAAACTGTCACCTGCTACTGCCAAGTGCTCTGATGTCCAGCTGTGTATGGCCAAATCTGCCCATGTTGAGAAGACCCGTGCTGAAAATAAGCATCTTGTGCTTCACTGTCACCACAATTTCAGTGTACAGCTAGATGATACAGGAGCCAAGGAAACTGCAGCAACGGTCCATGCACAGATCTCTGGGTTTCTATCCATCCCATGCCAGTCCCACAGACCACCAAGCGTGAATCAGTCACCTTACCTTGCACAGGGCAGGAACTACATTCCTTGATCACCCCGGTCTTGTTTGCCTTGGTGGTGGTCCACTGGTAGATGAACAGGATAGTGCGGGATGGGCCAGCATCCAGAACAATGGCATACTGGAAAACCCCCAAAACAGTCTAGATAAACATGACTGAATGCATGCTGCTTTGTTATTGTAGGGTTACTCAGCATCATGTATGAGTAACCCCTGGGTCTGCACTGCAGTATCTGTGTTAGCTTTTTACATTCAAAGAAAAGGTGAAGCCAGAAGCCGATGTGGATTTGCAGAGAATAATTTGCATTTCTGAATATACATGAGGAGCAGCAGGAGTGGAGTAACACCCAGAAATACATCAGTCCTACAATGGCATGCTCCATAGCTGTTCCTGAAATCAGGTAGAGGGCTTCCACTGAGAGCTGAGCCACCTGGAACTCAGGAAAAACAGGTCCTAAAGCAGTGGGAGATGGCACTATGCAGGCTCTCACCTGATTCTGGGACTCAAAGTGCTGCTGAAGCTGAATTGGTTTGCTAAGGAGATAAGGGGTTTCATGCAGGAATTGCAGGGCTGCGGCTTGTTCCTGCTTCTGAGGAACCCGAGACTCCCACACATGTTTGATGCCCCACTGCAGAGGTGGTGTGACATGGGTCGGGTTTGCCCTGATGTGTGCCAGGCCCGTGGGAGCTGCAGCACGCTGGGACCAGCCTGCACGTACACTGTCCAGTGCAGCAGCCCTGAGGCGACTGGGATAATGTCTTGGCAGAAACGACAGCAGTGACATGAGATTTCTCAACACCTTATCCACTGACAGTTCTCCTATTGCCTAGCAGTGAGGTCGAGGGCTTTCTTAGTCTCTGCAGCCCAGTGTCTGGTCTATTTGCTGCTTGCTGATCTGCACCTCTTCTGTGAGGGTTAGGAAGTGAGATGCCACTGGGTTCCCCTGCAGCACAGCACTGTGGCTGTTTTGGATGTCTCCACACTCAAAATAGCCCCAGTGCTAGCCTAGGGTCTCCTCCTCTCCCCCCTATTATATGACCCCAAACTGGGACATGTCCTACACAGATGGGAAAGAAACTTGTGAGATCTAGAAGGTGCATGGCAGGGCATGGTCTAAGCTGTGTCTTGCGCAGAAATAGCTGTAGCGGTAACTGAGTGGCAGGAGAGATCTTCTGAGAGGTGGATGCTAACACGGTTGGAAGGGTTGTAGCACAAAACAGAGTCTGGCTGCAGCCTCCAAGCAAAGCTGTCTGCCTGCTGCCTTCCTGGGAGCAACCAGCTGCACCAGACACAGCGCCTGGGCCAGGAGCTGGAGCAGAAATGCGGAAGAAGGATGGAGCTCCCTGCCCAAGCCTGCTGGCATCCTCCCACACGAGTGACAGCTCGTATTTCTCGCAGGGACATGTCGGCTGCCGCAAAAGAGGAAGAAACAAATGACATTGGCAGAGGAACCTGGATATTTTTCCTCCTTCACAAAATGAGAGGCTGCTGCTGGGAACACAAGGGAGGAGGAGGGATCACTGTGTTTCTGCCCCAGCTCAACACCAGGGAAGGGCAAAGTGCTTGCTGAGCAGAGCCTGGAGGAATAAGGGGTTATTTTTAATCCAATTTTGTTTCCAAGAGGAGTGTGGAGGAGGGGCAGTATCTCTAAACTCACAGGTTAACCTACTCCTGTTCAAATAAACTGTAGTGTGCCACTTGATCTCGCCTCAGCCTTGATGCATCAAGAGGCAGAGTGGATGGGCATTAACCCCCCTGTCACTGGGCAGATCTGACCCTGCTGCATAGAACAGGTTGGTTCTTTGGCTAAAATCAAAAGAGGACAGAAGATGAAAAGATATGGAAGATAATTATTTTTTGTAAAGACAGAAGCAGCAGTTCAGGGCCAAATTCCAATTGACTTTCAAGAGGGACTTGGTCTTTCCTTCCACTGACACCACTGGTCCCTTGCTGCTCTGGGGTAGCTCCTGACATGGGCTGCCTCTTCTCAGCCTGTGGTGAGCATCTCTGCTGGATGATATCCAGCCTGTATTTTCCTGACCAGCCAAAGGGGTTGTCTTGTTTTTTCTTTGAAAAGCTACAGCATGTTGAAGGATACAGACCCATCCTCAGTCTTGTTCTAGTCCCCTCCTCAGTTTGTTTTGGGCTGGTAACCAAGTCAGTAGTGCAATGAATGTAAAAAGCAGCAAAATACACCAGGTTTTAGTTTAGAAGTCCAGCTTGCACAAGGCAGCAAGCAGGTTCTCCTTAAGAAGCAGCCCCAGAGACAAGGAGAAGGTCCTCTGCTTACTGCCCTGCTTGACCCCCGGCTTGGCCACCCCTTGGGCAGGCGGGCACCCTTACCTTGGTCCTGAGAGGGGTGATGGGCACATCTTTAGTGGAGACGCAAAGGAGCACAATGCCTGTCAGTCCCGCTGCGATCACCAGCCAGGGAGGAAGGAGTTCACGCCAAGACATGAAGTGCTTTCTCCTTTCACAAAGAGTCAAAAGAGGAAGCAGAAGAGCAGCAAACTGACAGCAGCTGCTTTTTACAACCTTTAAAAAGAGAAGAAAGGCGGGGCCGGGGCCAGGCTCTGACTTCAGCCCAGCCCCAAGCCACAGGGACCACAAGGAGTGCGTGGGCCATGCTGCAATGCGTCAGGCAGCTCTCCCTTCCATCTCTCCATGCAATAAATAAAACGACGACTTCATGCCTGTTCCAGTGCTAGCTTTGCAAAGGCATCGGTGCAACCTCGAAACTGCCCCAGGTGGCGGGGTTGAGGTAAACAGAAATGTGGGGTTAACTCAGCTGTGTAATAAGCAGGCAAAACTCATCCGTTTGGTATTTTGCACCTGACAGGGCTAGTTGCCAAAATTAGAAGTGGGGAAACTCCTTGTCACTGGGTTTACTTTCTATCTGAGGGCTGCAGGGTGGACCTGGAGTGCATCCCTGCAAGCATGTGTCCATGGGGTTGGGGCAGAGTGTGGGCACTCTGCTCAGTTCCTTCAGACTGCTCCTGCCCCCTTGTTCACTCTCAGTTGGCACCTGGGGCAGGAAAACATCTGCACATTTGGGTTTCCTCCTGCAGGAGACTCTGGCTGGTTTGGTCTTTGTTGTGGGTAGGAGACAGTGGGGGCTGCTCAGGTCTTTTGCCACTCAGAAGGCCAGTGTCAGGTCAGGGGCCTGTACACCCCTTGCTGACAGCCTCCTCATGAAAGATAACTAATCCCCAGACTTTACAAAACATGCACCTGCTTTCTCCTTTCCAGTGCCAAAAAGACATGTCCCCGAAAACAGAATTTCTGAAGTAAAATGTGTTAGTCCTATGTGTTGGTTTAAGCCCTGCCGGGACCAGAGACCATGTTGCCGTTGTCCCTCCTCCACCCTCAGCCGGTCAGGCTAGCAGTGAGGCACAAACCCCGGGTTAAAATAAGAAGAAATTTAATACAACAGTGTGATAAATAACAATTTGAACAACAACAGTAGCAATGATAACAACAATAAACAATAATAACAGTGAACAAGACAAAAGATATACAGAGAAATACTGCAATGGACACAGCCAGCCCACGCCTGCTTTCCCCCGATCAAAGCCACAAAGGAAAAAGTTCCCGTGCTCCGGACGGACTTGACATAACCCACCTGGTGATCCCTTCCCTCTCTCTGCTGGAGAAACTTAACCCTATCCTAGCTGAACTAGGACATCCCAGGAGAGGTGCTTCTTTCAGGCTGTTCCCATCTGTTTTCCAGTATCTGGGTCTAGGAGTAAAAGTGCAAGTCCTTTTAAGAAATGTTTTTGTTTGTGTGAGCTGGACCATTTATTGACAAGGCCATCTTTTCCCTACCAGAGGACTTCACTAGCCAGGCCTCTGTCTGCAGAACTAAAGGAATGACACCCTCTTGGTCTTGCAGGGGTATTTGGAGACACATGTCTCCATCTTAGAGTTGTTTTAAGCAAAGCGCCAAAATTCCCTCATCTGCCTGCAGATTTTAGAATCCAGTTCAGATTTTCCTGGTGAGCAACTAGAATGCATCTGCCGATGTCCTATAATGACAGGACAAGGGGCAAAAGTTTTAAACTGAAAGAGGGCAGGTTTAGATTGCATATGAAGAAGAAAATTTTACAATGAGGGTGGTGAGCCACAGAAACAGGTTGCCCAGAGAAGTAGTGGATGCCCCATCACAGGAGGTGTTCAAGGTCAGGTTGGACGGGGCTTGAAGCAACCTGACAAAGTGCAAGATGTCCCTGCTCGGGGCAGGGGGTTGTACTAGGTGATCTTCAGTGGTCCCTTCCAACCCAAACCATTCTGTGATTCTTTGCTTTGCTTATACTTGGGCTGACAATCACAGAATCACACAGAATCACAGAATCATCTAGGTTGGAAAAGACCTTAGAGATCCTCCAGTCCAACCATCAACCTCACACTGACAGTTCCCCAGCTCCACCAGATCCCTCAGCGCTGGCTCAGCCCGACTCTTCAACCCCTCCAGGGATGGGGACTCCCCCCCTGCCCTGGGCAGCCCATTCCAACACCCAACAGCCCCTTCTGCAAAGAAATCCTTCCTCAGAGCTAGTCTAAACCTTCCCTGGCACAATTGGAGGCCATTCCCTCTTGTCCTATCACTGATATGCTCTACTTTGCAACGGGAACATGGATTAAATTGCCAGAGTGCTGACAGTCCTTCTCCCCTTCCTCTCACATCTGCTTGTGAGGACAAGCAGACTGTCAGGTGCTCCAGTGGGAAGGATTTGCGCAGCAGTTCATCTCACGGCAGCATCACAGGTAAACCATGTGCCCCAGGCATCCTCCTGTCTCAAAGAAATGCTGCACCGGTGATGGGTGGAGTGGCTGCTCACGCTGTGGTGGTTGTCTGATTGTTCATGCCCAGGTGTAGACTAAGTAAAACCGTGTGTTTGGGTTAAAGCCTAAGCTATAGCGATACTTTCATTTAGGCCAAATGTACTGCACTGATCTGAGGAGGACCACTCATCACTGGCTCTGTCTGTAAGCCTGATGCTTCGTATCAACACTGCAGGCCTTGCTAAGGACGGTACCCTTGAAGAGGAGCTAAAAGATTGATAAGAGGGGAACATCCCGAGGGATTTCTGCGATGGGTTAGACTGGTGCAGCTCTATTACAATCCTGGTGCCCGCCTGTAATCTCATGAAGGACAAATCGGGATTTTTTTCCCCCCACTCTGTAGCTGCTACCCTGAAAGTACAGGCCTGCAAAGGTCAAACCATGGTGGCAAAAGGCCATTTCTCCTTTGTCAAGCTGCTTTTGGCAGCTTTTCTCGTTTTCAGCGCTGTCTGCCAGGGGTCTGCCAAGCAGTGGTGGCTGCCCGGCTCGGGGGGAGGCCTCACGCTCCGGCAGGAGCCCCGACATTTGCTGCCGGGCTCCCGTTTTGCTGTGGGTCGGAGCAGGTTGCCCGGGGGCCTCCCCAGAGCTCAGTCGGCAGCCGCAGCAGCTCCCCGGCACGGCGGGTG